TGCTAGGAAAACAAACAGATTCATACTGGAAAGGGTCAAACCAGGCGGTTCCTTGGAGGTAAGGATTCTGAGGCTCCGTCTAACATACTTTGGACATATTGTAAGGAGGGACAGTCCTTGGGGAAGGACATCATGCTTGGTAGGGTGGAGGGACAGCACAGGAGGGGAAGGCCCTCTATGAGGTTGATTGATTCAGTGACTGGGGTAATAGGGATGGGTGTATGTGAGATGGTGAAATTGGCACAGGACAGAGCAGAGTTTAGGGCTGTTTGTGCATAAGGTCGCTAGGAGTTGCAAGCGACTCGATGGCACATAACAACAACAACAACCTAACAACAATATCATCATCTACTTAGCAATTACTAAAGAAATCATACTTTAGTCCGATACCTTCGTATTTTTCTCCAGAGTATAGCTGACAGAAGTAGCAGAAAGGGGAATATGAATATTAATGTGAACTGTACACTGCAAGGAAAGCCAGGAAGTTGATAGTCCATTTTGATACTTCCAATCTGCTGGTTTTGCTGAACTCTTCAGTAGTGAGAAAAGGGGAAAAAGCATAAAAATGACAACGATTTAGGTAAAACATACAGATAACAAAAGATTATAAAATATACAACATAGCTCATATAGTCTGATATTCAACAAATTTTGCAAAATTCTTTGATCAAAGGGCTATGAAGTAAATGAGGCATATATTAATTTAGTACTCTTCAGTACAGTGCAGGTAACCCTGGCACAGGTTCAGAAATGCCTATGTTTACAACTTTGAAAAACAATCCTCTAGTCCTCTAGCACTCATATGAATCTGCATGTATGGTGAAGTTTTGTTATGGAATAAGAATTACTGAGTGAACCTGTGGGTGGCAGATTTAATTTCTGTTCCTTGCACACTGTGCAGCACTCAAAGTAGTTTATTTAAATCAAGAACTACATATATAAAAAAAAAAAGAACTACATATTTAGTTTGTGTACTTGATAACCAGATTAAAAATCATTCTTTTTGTTTGATCTCACATGTCTGTGCCTTCTTGGTTGTTGAAAACAGTTAGAAAGTTATTTTTTCCAAATCTAAATCAGAGGTCTACTAAATATAGACAACTTGCAGTACTAGTAGTAAACACTCTCAGACTTGAAACTTCTTGTTGTTACGTGCTGTCGAGTCACCTGCGACTCATAGCAACCCTATGTACAACAGATCTAAACCTTGCTCTATCCTTTGCCAATCTTATTGTTTTCAACACACTTATTCCCATTACCCCAGTCACTGAATCACTAGTTTCCAAAAAAACTAAACACATAAGCAAGATGTGAAGGAGCTTGATGAAGATATATCAACAATTAGTAATATATAAGTTTATCTTGCATTTCCTTATGCTTCTAATCAAATTACCACTTTTAAATAATATAAAACACAACATGTGGGTATGAACACTAGTAGGAAATAATAGCATGGGCAATTATTAAAATTAATCATGATTTTTTTTATTTGCAACATAGAAATATCGTTAATCTTTCTTACCTTTGGGTCCTTGATATCATAAGTTCGACAAACTATTCTTTACTAATTAAGGAGGAAAATGACCAAAAGGTGATTCTTGATAATCAAGAAAAAGAAATGCAAAAGGTACATGCATGTAAGAATTGTTTAAAAATCATACTTTATATAATTAAAAACACATCCATATTCATCTTCACATTGCACATGTATTATACAGTATATGTATGTATAACACATACATTCTCTGTAATATTTGAGGTGCTTGCAAATTATTTCCTTCCACCTAGAAAGGTTATTAAGATCGTAAGTACAATGGAAGCATTTGAAAGATTTTCATTAAATACATACTCTCCTTTATCAAAGAATATGAATCCTGATTTGCAGGGGTCAAGCCCAAGAATATTGATCAGATTAGAGATCTTGTACATGCACTTTCTAGTTAATATCAAAGGAGTTAAAAACCTCTACTTCTGAAGAAATTACAACTTTCCGAACTTTGTATCTGAAGTCTTAGGTCTTTGATCCATGGACTGTTGCCCTCCCTTGGTGAGGCTGCTTTTTGTTTATGAGGAACCTAAGTCCTGGCAGAGGAAGGAAGCTATACAAGTTTCAAAATAGGCTTATAGTACCATAAATGATATAGCTGAGCCTCTACATCTTGTGGTTCCTAACCTCTACACTATAATAGACAAAGTGCTAGTCTATAGGCCTTTTATTGTAAGAACCACCTTACCTCTGTAACTTGATTTGTGCCACTATTAGAACCTCTACTCGGAATATTATTGCTTTTCAA